TTTTAATAATGTTCTCCATATGAGGCACAAATGTCAACTTGTGATCGTAAATAACACCTAAGTCCCTTATTATGTCTTTATCCTGAACAAGCGTATCTTCAATATGATAGTCACAATTAATTTTTGTTTTTTTTCGTGTAAAATTAACCACAAAACATTTTTCATGGTTAAGGTTCATCCGGTTTTGAGTACACCACACCACAAGCCTATCCAAATCTGACTGCAGTAGTACCGAATCAGCTACTGAATCAATTATTCTCCCAAACTTCAGGTCGTCTGCATACATAAATGGTGTTGAATGATGAAAACAACTGGGAATATCGTTCATGAAAAAGTTGAATAAAACTGGCCCCAAATGTGATCCCTGTGGCACTCCAGATGTGATACTATGTGATGTGGAATTAAAACCGTTAGTAGCCACGTAAAAAGTCCTCCCACTAAGATATGAGTCTAGCCACAGTGCTATAGACCCAGACACGCCATACATAGTCAATTTTGCCAGCAAGATTTCACGGGAGACTCTATCAAAGGCTTTTGATAAATCCGTGTAAATAACATCGAATTGCTTTCCAGCATCAACAGCTTGTACTAGAGACTCGTTGAAAATCGCCAAGTTCGTACTAGTTGATCTAGCGCTCGTAAAGCCATGCTGATGAACACTGAGATATTGTTTAAGGTGAACTCGTAGTGGCTCTGATATTAAAGTTTCAAGGATTTTAGCAAAAATCGATAATATTGAAATAGGCCTATAGTTCGAAACGGAAGACTTATTTTCCGATTTAAAAATTGGAATAACTTTAGCCACTTTCCACAAGGATGGAAATATGCCAGATGATAGGGATGTGTTATATATAAGAGTCAGTGGTAGTACCAAGGCTGAGGCACATGAACTAATAAATAAAGGCGGTATCCCGTCTGGGCCGGCCCCTTTCTTACAATTTAATGATTTAAGTTTTTTCAATATTATCTCTTGACTAACTGATGGTACCGTGAAACACTGGCTGTTTGCCCAAAGAAAATTACTGTCATTAATTTGGTTACCAAAATTAGAAGATTCAGGTGTATAAACGGAGGAAAAATATGTAGCAAAAAGCTCACATATTTCAGTACCTTTTGATGTACAAGTTCTGCCATCTATCATGGGAACCAGATATGAACTCTTTCCACCACGTTTATCTTTGATAAAGGACCAAAAACACTTAGGGTCATTACGCAGCTGCTCATCAATTTCAACAATATATTTTTTGTAACATTCAGACGCTAGTTTCTCACATCTTTTACTTATTAGTTTCAGTTCTATATGATCCATGGGATTAGAGAATTTTTTATAACGTAATCTAAGTTTATATTTTTCATTTAATAACCTTTTAAGATTTCTATTAAACCACACTGGAAAACGATAACTTTTAGGCTTGCAAAGAGGCACATGTTCATGAATTAATTTCTGTAACACGTTATAGAATTCTTGTACCATTTCATTGACGTTTTTGAGATGACAAAATTTCAGACGCCAGTCTATTTTATTTAATTGTTCCTTTATAGTAACGAAATTTGCTTGATAGTAGTTGTGTCTCAAACAAGATAAATTATATGGAAGACTAATTTTTTTAGTTGAAGAAATAGATATATCCAACGGTGGATGCACAAGTTCAATTTTACTAAGAGACTCTGTGGCTTGTGTCACTGTACATGTGGGTAGTATACTAAGAACAAGATCAAGAATTCTACCTGTATTAGATATACTATTACACTGATAAAGCTTATTAATGTTTAAAAAATCTATAAGAGCTTGAGAGTTATATGGTAAGGTATTCGTGGTATTGTTATCCTCAAGTGATTTCCAATTAATATTACTTAAATTAAAGTCACCAACTATGCACACATTATAATTTACATTATCAAAAACAGAATTGTAGCTAGACAAAAAAAGATCTAGTAACGTGCGACTTACAGGTGGTGGCAGATAAGCTGCACAGAAAGCTAGTTGCAGTGAATCAATAGTAATCCATAAGTCTTCACATTTACTCTCCCAAGACATCATGCGACTGGATCTGAACTGTTTCAACACTGCAACCAAAACTCCCCCTCCCTCTTTGCCACAATTAAAACCAGATGAATATCTATCCCTGCGATGTACATCGTATCTATCATCCAACAATTCTCCATTACATACCGAGTTATTTAACCAAGTTTCTACAAGAATTATTATGTCTTAGTTGTTAATACAAACATTTTTATAAAAAACATGTGTTTTAGTTCTCAGTCCTCTGCAATTTTGAAAATACACTGAGAGAGTGAATTTTTTAAGAATATATTATCCAATTCAAACACCGAAAAAGAAAATACAAAAATAAGCATTCAAGGATTATAGTTTGTTGAGCGAATCCACATTCCTAATAAGAATACAAGTACTATCTTCATTCTTTCTGACGAATATCTTTCCTGACCGTACCCATACGTATTTATACTCCTTCTCTCTGGCTTTGATTCTGGTAGCTGCATGCAGAGCCTTATTACTTGGTGAAAGATGTTCTGTCACGAATATGGGATTCTTATTTCCAGGTAACCCGAGATGAGAACTGTTCAGCTTATCCTGATTATTACTTTTGTTATAATTAATGACAGCGGCGAGGAGCTGATCACGGATTAAGAGCGAAGCAAATTGCACAACTATAGAGCGAGGCCTTGGGTTAGCAGGATTAATCTTTGCAATGCGAGTACAACGAATGATGTCGTTATCTTTTAAGTCTACGCTCACCACAGATCCAATCTGCTTAACTATACTGTTGAGATCTTCATTTTTGTACTCAGGTATACATTGAATTTCAATGTTGTTGGCCCTAAATTGTTGCTCCAGAGAGTTAAGGTGACTTTCCGTGGTTGAGAGCCGATTGTTAAGATCCTGTACAGTGTTTCTCATTTTACAATTCTCCTCCATCAGCTCCTTAGCTGTTTTTCTGATATTTTCCTGTTCCTTCTCCATGTCATCAAATCTGTTATTCATAAAGTTCATAGATTCCTTTATCTCCCTTAACTCTGACTGTACTGGTTTTATTTCATTCTGGATTATTCCAATCAAATTATCACGTAAGGTCTTCATCATATCACCAATCTCCTTTTTAATTACGTCTTGTACAATTTCGTGGACATCTTCCCTTGACAATGGAGTCATACAGGGTGGAGAGTTATAAGCTGGTCTTTTGTTTACTCTTCCGACGTTTACACTGCGTACTGGAGTGAAGTCCTTTTTTGCTGTTTTTGGAGTTGAGTTCAAGCACTGGGGGCATTTTCAATTTTGTTTATTCTCCTTATGAGAGATAATGGGCAATGAGAGACAAGCATAATGAAATGGTATTTTGCAATTAATACAGACAATAGAATCCTCCTCTCCTCCGTCCACGGTATTACAACATCCCCATTTAGTCATCTTGAGTTAATGAACAATGTGTAGTCAGGTATATTTAATATTTTAGATATATGTTCTTAAATATCAAACTTTTGTTGTCGTAAGTTTCGAAATGAATAGCAATTTATATATTCAAAATCAGCAAATTAATTATTAAATATCCAAACACCACCGCCCATACGGTACAATTTTTAACTTCTTAACGTCTATTTTTAACTTCTTAACTTCTTTCATTCCAAAAATATATTTCTCATCCCTCAACATCACGCTATTTTCCTCTAACACTGTCATTACTTTTTTAAGCCTCAAATCGTGCTCTTCAACGTCTTTGCCAAACGTCAAAATGTCATCTATAAAATTTATGACTCCTTCGCAACCTAAAAGGATTCGTTCTAGTGTTTTCTGGAAAATCTCCGGCTCACACGAGATGCCAAACATCATCCTTTTGTATTGATACAATCCTTTGCTGGTAATGAAGGTCGTTATGTGTCTTGAGTCTGGATGAAGTTTGATATGATGGAACGCATCTCGTATGTCCAGCTTACTAAAGATTTTGGCTTCTCGAACTTTTGGCAATAGCTCTTCCATCGTTGGCAGTGGATGGTTTTCACGTTGTATAGCCGTATGTGCTCGACGCATATCGACACATAATCGGATGTCCCCTCCGTCTTTTAGCACAGGGACTATAGGCGAGATCCAGTTAGAAGGACCTTTCACAACTTCTATAATGTCCCTTTTCAGTAAATCTTCCAGTTTCCTCTACTTTTTCTTCGAGTGGGATTGGCTATGTTGGTTAACCGATTCAGTGAAGCCTGTTGCTCAGCCGTATCTCCGATACGAGTCAATCGGAATGGTAACTAAAACGTCTTTGAATTTTGGAAACACCTCAGTTTCAACCTGGTTGATATCCAAATTGATCCGAAGTACTCCCAATGAGGTTGCCGTCACCCGTCCAAGTAGGTCACGCGTACCGTTTTCGATCACGTAGAATGTTGTGCTGTCCTGTGATGTTCCGCCAAGTTTTATCGTAGCTTTGAATGATCCTAACAGCAAGCGGTGTAGCACTCCCGTAAGCTACTTCATTCTCATATCTCTCTTCATTCTTTCCCAGGTTTGATCTGTTATAAGATTGTGCTTGCAGCCCGAATCTATCAACATCTCCACGTTGCTTCCACCCATGTTACATATGGTTTTTGCGTCGTTCTCGATATTGAAAATGTAGTCGACTTTTCTTCCATCTGTGCTTATGTTTGCAGTTTCTTCGATATTATTTGTTGTCCTGCTTTTCTTCTTTGTTCCCTCACTCTTCGATGATGCTTCTCCTTCTTATTTTCTCTTCTGAGTTTGTCTTGTCCGACATTGATTTCTGAAGTGTCCTAAGATGCCACATTTAAGGCAAGCCTTTCCTTTTGCCGGGCAGTTGTTGTCACGGGCCAAATGTCTGGAACTTCCACATCTACTACATTCCAATCTGTTTTTTTGCTTTCCCTTCCATGTCTCTGTACCTACTCTGTTGATTGATTGACTTTCCAAAGGTTTCATACCAAAGTTTCCTAATTGACGATCTATGGCTTCCAATGCATTCGCTTCTGCAACTATTTCATCCAAAGTGATCTTGTCCCCTGTTTTCAATATCTTCTTTCGGAGTTCTTCTGTATTACCCTTTTCAGTTATGTGATCTATGATATGCTCGTCTTCTTTTTCACCAAACTGACACTTCTTGGCGTGTAGTCGAAGTCTGATAAGAAATTTTTAATAATAATAATAACTGTTTTATTGCCTCCAAATTATGATACACTTATTAAAACGTACTACCTAAAGGAAAAACAAAATTACAAGTATGTATCTTAATATAACATTAAGTGGAGGCAAGAGGACGAGCCTCAGCGTAAGCGGAGCCAAGGTATGCCCTGGTCCATGCTGGTTTTCAGCCCCAACCTTTTCCCTGCGATGTTATGCGGGTCACAGTCAGTAATAAAGAACTGCCAATTATTACACAAAAAAACTTGCATTCTTACAAACTAAATACAGAAGGTACTGCTCTTATATCTATATGTGAAATGTGGGTCCTGGATTGTACTGTTTGTGTGTGTATGTGTGTGTGGTAAATAATTGTATATTGTGTAGGTAAATGCGTCAAATTGATAGAAAATTTCAGAAACTAAGAAGGTTAGACATGGTGGAAAAACCGAATCAAAGGCAAATCTTTCCAGTGTGCGTGTCTCAAGTCCTCCGCTGCAAGTTGTTTTTGCAATAACGCCTTTTTATACCTCACTTTAAAATTCTGACCACTGGTTTTTATTCTTAGAGGCGGTGGAAGATCGTTCCAAATCTTCGACGCGGAATACTTGAAACACCCCTTATAGCGAATAGATTTATGTTTAGGAACTCTGAGAAGACTTTGTGCTGTAGAACGAAGCGGTTTGAGGGCCCATTCAGTTCGCCAAGAAAGTTTTTCATATTTGTTTCTTAGGTTTTCACGCACATCACTCATTAAATAAAACTAGTTTTTACGGGTTAATGCACGAAACTTTATTTATTTATTGACGTTTCGCAGCCTTTTCAGGTCTGCATCGTCAGAATAATGAATAATGAATAAAATTATTCTGACGATGCAGACCTGAAAAGGCTGCGAAACGTCAATAAATAAATAAAGTTTCGTGCATTAACCCGTAAAAACTAGTTTTATTTAAGTTTTTCATATATGTATTCAGGCTTTTTATTCCATATCACTCTATGAACAGTACAGGCATATTGGAGTTCCCTTCTGCCTTTCATGTTGAGTATATTATGTCGGTTCAGGTATGGAGTAACATATTGTTTTTTGGGAATTTCGAAGCTAAATCTTACACAGGCATTTTGGAGTCTTTGCACAGCTCTTTCTGTACTACTATTTATTCTTGGGCCATAAACGTTACTGCAGTAGTTAAATGCGGAGAGTACTAGCAGGTCTGTTAGATGCAACCGTAGATCCTCTTTGATATACGCTCTTATTTTATAAAGGGTCTTAAGCTTATAAAAGGCAGTTCTAATTTTTTGGTTAACATGCTCTGTAAACTTTTGTTCCCCATCCAGTATCAATCCTGGGTTTCTCGCTGCTCCAACCTGTTCAAGACAAACTCCGTCTATTTTGCACTTTATTTCTGCTATCAAGTACTATTTGTATTTGTTTCTTAGTACCTAAAACTAACACCTGAGACTTATTCGCATTTAGAACCAGCGAGTTCCTTTGCGACCAGTCGTAGATATTACAGATATCATTATTAATTTTAGCTATGGTGTCGCTAATATCACTGCCTTTAAAGGAATAGTATAATTGTGTGTCATCGGCATAAAGGTGGTATTTGCAAAAATTTATATGTTTAGGGAGGTCTGCAGTAAATATGTTAAAGAGAGTGGGGCTTAAACGCGATCCCTGAGGAACTCCTTGTTGAAGAATCCCTGGCGAGGATAACCTTTTCTCACCGTTCTCTGATTCAGTAATAACAATTTGTTCCCTATTGAGTAGAAACGTTTTGAACCACGTGCAGGCATTCACGGAAAATCCATATAGTTCTAGTTTCTTAAGTAGCAGCTCCGGATGTAAACACTCAAATGCTCGAGAATAGTCGAGTAGGACTATTATACTACTCAAACCCATATCTGAAGCCTCCGTTATTTCGTCAGTCACATGGAGAAGTGCTGTTTCCGTGCCATGTCCCCTGCGGAAGCCAGATTAGGCACTATTTCCATCCTCTCCAAATAACTTAGAACTTGTTTTAATACCACCTCCTCTATGACCTTGGAGAGCACCGGCAATATCGAAATCGGACGCAAATCTTTAAATACTTCTATGCAGTTTCTTTTTAGTATGGGTTTTACTATAGCCCTTTTCCAGCCAGATGGGAAAATGTTTGATTCTATTGATTGATTTATTATTGCGGTGATTCTGGGTAGTGTACGATGTATCGTTAATTTTATCATTTCTATATTCAGGACGTCAAAGCCAGTTGCCTTTGTCTTAATTTTATTTATTATTTTTAAAACCTCTTCATCGGTTGTTGGTTTTAGATTGAAAACAGAATCTTTGTATTGACTGCTATCCAAACAATCTTGTCCCATAACAGTACCGCCACAAGAAGAAGTGTTTAAGAAGTGGGTATTTAATTTATCAGGGTCTCTGAGATGGTTAGGAATGAAAAGTTTACACGTGTCAAGAGTGAGGCAGGTATTTTTAAGGGTTTTCCATAGAACTTTAGGCTTTTTTAAATTTCTATTTATAAATTGGTTAAAATAAGCCTTCTTTTCCCGTTCAATGGTTGCTGTGGCAAAATTTCTAAGACTGCGATAGTATTTCTTAGATGATTCGGTTTTATTTCTCAGTGCTTTTGCTAGTGCTTTATCTCTCAGCTTCATAATAAATTTGACCATATCGGTAATCCAAGATTTTGGAGTCTCCCTGTTCACGATTTTCTTTTTGGGTGCATGCAAATCGAATAAGGCTAAAGTGAAATTATTGAAGACACTTACCATCTCATTTACACTGTCAAGGGACTTCACATCCTGTTCTTGTTTTAGGAGACGAAACAGGTGTCGCTCATACACTTTGCTCTGTTTAGGTGCAAAGTAGTTGTCTAATTTTCCGATCGCAATGTTAAAAAGTTCGCCTTCGGTTGCATTAGCTCCCGGGATGTTGTAGAAGATTTCTTGTAACTCGGTACCCCCAAAATGTAAAAGACTAGCTCTTTTCTTTGCTTCGGTGTCTATGCCTGCCGCCTCGAGATAAATGTTCAGACTTCTTTTCCATCTTTCCCAACGGACAGAGACTGAACCACGGACTGAACCAACCTCCCCTTCACATTCGAACCTCTGTATGGTGTATTGTGCCATTGTAGCTACCTGTTGACAAGGTAAGTATCTATGTTGCATATTTGTGTTTTTTTTTTGCTGTCACAATCTAATTGTATTGTAATCAAAATGGTAATGTGGCTGGTAACGCATCTAAAATTAAAGCTAGTAATAAAGTGTCTACTGTACATGACTGTACCTATTTTTTTTTATTTTAGGAAGGTTTACAGCTATCAATGACTTATTAAATAAACAAACAACAATATCTAAAAGCCAATTAAAAACCTCCACATATTAAACATGCTTATATAAATATAACTACATATCTCATACTCTTTTATCCTACTGTAATATGCTTACATGCTTATAATATGCTTCATATCATAATATATTTATTACAGTTAACAATTCATACTATCTTAAAAAAAAGAAAGGAAATAGACGCCAGTTTGAATATTGAGCATACCACTTATTTAATTAATGCCTATTTAAAATAATTCGAAGCTATAGTTCGTCTGACTGTCGCTGGGCTTGTCGAGAATAGGTCAAAGTCGTTTTCAATACTATACTTGTTGTAAATTTCACATCCACGCATTAGGAATGTGTTGTGTCGATAGTTTGTGTGAGCAAAGGGTACATTGAGCAACTGGCGACGACGCAGACTTGGTACATTGGTACGAAGACCAATTTTAGACAATAACTCCGCGCAATCAATGCTGCCATTAGCAAGTTTAGAAAACAAGCGTTCACGGCGAATTTGAAGAGGAAGAAAGTGATAACGCTTGCAACAATGCTCGTAATTAGTACGCTGCGTAGTTGTTTACGCACGCAGTACCGTGGTGCGTGAGTATTGCTCAATGCGCGACCGCCAAGCGGCGAATGGGTGCTCAGTGTAAACATTTATATATATATTTTATCGATTACCGTGAAAACTTCGCAATTTAATATGGTGGCATAGCCCTGTAATATGGTGGCATAAGAAACCAAACTCCGTTGTCTCCTCTGATTGTGGCCCTGGCAAGAACTGGAGTAGAAAAGTACCCGGAACGTACGTGTGTGTTGTGTTGTAATTGCCACAATCAGAAAAAAACAATAAAGTAAGCTAAAACACAGCTTAGTAAGCTTAAACAACAATAGAAAAATAACTAATACAAGTTGCAAAAGCATTATAATAAAGATAAAAATTCAAATTGACGGTTACTATTTTCAAAATTTAAAATTTTCTACTTTATAATCGGACGCTAATTGAGGGAATACTTGTTCAACACTTACCAATACGTGGGTTTATGCACTGAGTGTAATGATTGATGAGATTTAAACAATTATTACATTAATTTAAAATTTTCAAAAAAATATATAGATGGTTTTCCAATTACAGCACTAGAGCGCATTATGCGGCATAATGCTAAGCGTTGAATGTTCCAACTACAGCAACGCTTCGCACAATCGAGCACTCTCAAAAGTAATGCTTTCGTGTGATGCGTGCAATCGTACCAACTCAGTGACAGAAAATTAACAAGTGTTTTTTCTTTGAGTTGGCATTGGTCGAAATGTTTTATTTATATGTTATCGTTAGTAATATTATTTATTGTTGAAAAATTATTAAAGCATTCGTTTCATTATAGATTTTTTTTAAATAATCAAAGTTAATTCAAACTGTGTTAAAAAATAAATATAAGTATGGATGAAGGTACGATAATTAACTTTTTTGACGTGACAACGTCTTAAATTAGGTTGCGGCTGGGAGTCACTTATGAAAAAGTGTAACGCTCGGTAACGTTACGATGAGTCTCTCGTGTTAAGTTTAAGTTTACATGTACAATGTTTTAGTAAACAAAATATATTTCTATTTAAAGTATTCATTTGACATTGTGGGTTACCTACAATGCGAAGAGATGGCGCTGCCTTGCAGCTTAAGGCTAGGAAAATTTCGACGCGGCTAATAGGGCCGTGGTAGCATAATGGTCAGTGCATTCGCCCGGATAGCGAAGGATGCGGGTTCGAGTCCCGTCCGCTGCCTGGTCCGCATGGATTTTTTTCTAGTAAACTTTTCTTTAGATTTAAACATCTAGCAGTTAAATGCTTAAAAAATAAATAAAATCATAACTATAATTGCTATTTCTTCTTTCAAATGTTTAATACTTGAAAAAGTATTCATTTGACATTGTGGGTTACCTACAATGCGAAGAGATGGCGCTGCCTTGCAGCTTAAGGCTAGGAAAATTTCGACGCGGCTAATAGGGCCGTGGTAGCATAATGGTCAGTGCATTCGCCCGGATAGCGAAGGATGCGGGTTCGAGTCCCGTCCGCTGCCTGGTCCGCATGGATTTTTTTTCTAGTAAACTTTTCTTTAGATTTAAACATCTAGCAGTTAAATGCTTAAAAAATAAATAAAATCATAACTATAATTGCTTTTTCTTCTTTCAAATGTTTAATACTTGAAAAAGTATTCATTTGACATTGTGGGTTACCTACAATGCGAAGAGATGGCGCTGCCTTGCAGCTTAAGGCTAGGAAAATTTCGACGCGGCTAATAGGGCCGTGGTAGCATAATGGTCAGTGCATTCGCCCGGATAGCGAAGGATGCGGGTTCGAGTCCCGTCCGCTGCCTGGTCCGCATGGATTTTTTTCTAGTAAACTTTTCTTTAGATTTAAACATCTAGCAGTTAAATGCTTAAAAAATAAATAAAATCATAACTATATTTCTATAGTTAAAATTTGTGCAATTCTTATTTTCATTCAATTCCTTGTTCCTATTGTGCAATTTAATTATATTCATATCAATAAATATTCTACCGAGAAAAAGACGTTGTCACGTAAAATCTTCGCCCGTAAAACCGACTTTACAGGCAACCATTTTTTTTTTCAACACTGAACTTAGCGCACTCTGCTGGTGCATTTTAAAACTAATTCACATTGAGGGCTATTGCGTATGAATCCGCCGCTAGAGGCCCTAGTGTAGCGTGAGGTCTCCGAAATGTCAAATGTTATTGCTTGTTGGTTGACTACGCGGGTTTATTTCTAATTAAAATAATGTTGTGAATAATTGGTAACAATTCGGCTTAATTATGGCAAATATGAGTTATGTGGCAATGAATGTCAGTTATTAAAAATTTGAGCTTAGAAAAATGATTATGTTCCCATTTTTTCCCAATAAAACGGAACTGCGCGTCACTGAGGCATGGCCTATTATGTTTAATAATAAATAAAGAATAAATATTTCCAACACTCACACCAATTAGCCTAGCCCCAAAGTAAGCACTGTAAGGCTTGTGTTATAGGATGCTAGGGCAACGGATAGAATACATATACTGTACATATTTAAGTATATTTATATAGAAATACATATTAAACATCCATGACTGGAGTACAAATGCTCGTATTCATCACACAAACATCTGACACCATTACCAACTTAATAATCATATTTTTACCATAGACAACGAGAATCATGTTATTTTGCATGAAAAAATGGCAGCACTGATCAAAATTGCTGTCAAAATTGACTTTAACCTAGGGATGTCGAAAGTTGAAAAAAATATCGATATTTTAAAAAATATCAATATCGGCTTCGATATGTCGCAAAAAAAAAATATCGATATATCGGGCCAATTTTTCCAAAAATATATTTAGGTCAGCCTAGCATAGTAATAATAGTTCAATACAAATTATAATTAAAGAAAGAATTATCAAAGTACCAAATTGCCGCTATACTACATGACAGTATCTCACGAAATATGACACGCGGAATAATAATGGAACGAAAATTATCTCCCTAAAAATAGACCCTATTTTCGAATGATGAAAATGCCAATGCCAGGGCCTCTCAGGTGCCATCTTTCGTAAACAAGACTAGACAGTCACACACTTCCACAGAATATAATGGAAATCAGCACAACCAATTCACCAGCGAAACAGATTTACAAATAATAGACAATACTAAATACAGCACAGATCATAGATATGTTGAATATCGTTAATCTGAGATCTAGTTACGATTTTTCCAGATACGAATTTAGTTAGATCGTGATATGCCGCTAATAATTAAAAAAATATCGTTTTTGATACGAATTTCGATATTGGTTATTTTGTATCGATATATCGATATATCGAATCAAAATATATCGGCAAAAATATCGATATATCGAACAAAAAATATCGATATATCGATACATCGATATATTTTCAACAAGCCTACTTTAACCTACAAAAATATTAATTTTCAATCATTTTTTCTCGAATTCTATTAGTTTCCGCGTAAAAAGATTTGGTGTACGTGTTTCTAATAATTAATACTTTACGTGACAAAAATTTCAGCTTGCAACTCAACTACAGCTAATGGAAAGCTGAGCCTCGCTGGGAGCACAGAACGAGCGCGGGTTTCGTTCCGGATGTCGGATGTTTCGGATGTCGGAGTGTCCGACGTCGACGTGAAATTTGAAATTAACAATAAAAAAATCTCTTTCTCAGCCAATCGCCGCTCAGCATGGCTGATAGATGTTTTGTCTATAAAATGAAGGTAAAAGATCGAGCAAATTTTGTTAGATGGTGTTGCAGGATATTTAATTATTTTCTTCCTATGTTGTAAATATACTACAGTATCACTCACGAAGTTAAATTTGGGAATGTTGTGTTTTTAGGTTTTTTTCCATGTCAACTTAAGTTGTTACAATACTTTTATCAGCAAAATAAAAATATACGCATTCATAATTTATGATAAGTATGTACGTTAAATATCTGTGAAATATTTTATTTTCTTATTCACATGTATGTACCAGATTTTAAAACAATTAACTTAATTTTTCCCTGCATTTCCTATGTAAATAGTATTTAATCTTTACTATTGTCAAACGTGATTTTAAAAGGTATCCTTTTTATGGTTTGTTTACATCAGTTTACATTTTGTTTCACTCCAATGTGAATAGACAAACTTAGAAATAGAATAGGATAGATATTTTTTTATTGCTCCCACAGTAATACATAGTACAATACGATTTGACAGTGTGAAAAGCAAATGGATGTGGCTCAGCATAAACTGCTTCGATAAAAGTGTATCTCAGGTTTTGGTGGCACTGTGTGTAGGTAGACATATCTTCATCCATAAAACTTCTTCTTCTTCTTTTTAGAAAATGGCGGTGCACTTTTGTGGATTTCGCCAGACTCGATGTTCTCTTTAGTCTGTGAACCGTAATCTGTGGTTGGGAGTGACATTTCATACCTACATACACTTTTTTGTACATTTTGCGAAATATTTTTTTATTATTCACGATCTTTTTGTACTTCTGACTTGGATTGTAAAAAATATAGCTGCAAATTTAACGAAAGTTTGCATACTCACACACTTAAATAAATATTATAAATAATGTGGAAATTCTTTGTATGTTTATTTCACAATTATTTTGTTGTTACTTCCAAGAACGTCACAATATCTTTTAGTTATTTATTGTTTAAGTGTAATTTAATTTAATTCCATAAAATATTGACAGTGAAATAGTTGGTCTTTTCACAATTATGAGATAAACTAGCGAGGTTCTGCAAAAATAATGCCATGTACGCTCCAGATCACAGAAGGAAAGATACAAGAGATGTTATGTACCGCAGTAATTCCAGTCTAGATTTGATATATAATGATCAACCATCAGGAAATGGCCTACGCCGTGAATATGGAAGTCATGGTTCAATCGACGTGATTGGTGGTGGAAGCGAAAGATTACCTGCAATGGTTCATAATTACAGTGGAGTTTCTTCGTCGGAAAAAACACCGGGACTTTCACGAGCTTCTGATCGGCTGTCCGATGTTCTTAGCAGTGACCATGCTGATGGTCCACAACCAAGAGCCAGTGCTAGCCCAAAACCACGACTTAAGCTCAACAAACTGTGGGGTGGTGCAGCGTCAGTGTTACCTCGCCAACCACTAGACGATGGAGCAATTTCCTCTGTCACAGCAGATTGTGTTAAACGGAAACAGTTTGCTCATTATGATTGTCAGTCCCTCATGGCTAACTTAAGTTATGCTGCTGAAATCCGTGGTGCATTATTAAGTAGACGTCGCAATACAACAACAGGAGCATCGGCAGCATCTTTGTTGGCAACTCGAGGTCTACCCCCAGGTGAAGATGCAGTACCTGACACTGGTGATGGGCAATCTAATGAGCTTCTAGATAGCTGCCCATTCTTTAGAAATGAAATTGGAGGTGAGTACTAAAGATGATCTTGTGTCTACATACACCCTAAAAATTTAATGTTTGTAACTATTGTTATAAGTAATTCAAGATTTTGATAATGATGAATTTCAGTTGTGTATCAACAATATATTTGTTTCATACAAAAACTTGTATTTTTAATGTAGTTCATGTTTGATAGTTTTTTATTATGATTGAAAAATGATATATAATAAATTAGACTGTAATGAGCTATTTCATTAAAATTTGTTGCAACAACTCCATATTTACTACTACACTTGTGAAAACATTAACTTTTGTATTAATTATAGTTGTATATCATAATTTATATGTGTATTTTTTTATAAAACTAATTAAACAAATTGATACCGCCATACACACAAATGAATGCTGCATTCATTAATGACTAATCTAGTTTCTCTTTTACTATTAAAACATTGGCCAATAGTAAAGCAGAATTGTTTAGGCAGATACTATCTGCCTTCAAGTTGCTGTAATAATAATTAAAAAAGTCTGAGTAAGTTACTTAGTTATCAATATTGACTTAATTGATATTTATAATATATTTTGTAAAAATTATTTGAATTTTACATTTTGCTTCAATCTAGAATGTATTTATATAATAACAGTTGATTATTATAATTTTTAGTTAATCATTGGAATATAGTGGTGTCGATTCTGGCATGATTCTCTAAAGCTAAACTTAAATTTGACAACAGTGTATCTCTGTCATTTTCTATACAGACTGAAAAGGACAGACTGATGTCAAATTTAGTTTTAAGTTTAGAGAATCCTGCCAGAATCGACACCAGTGTTTGATTATGAATTCAATTTGCAAAAACTAGTCTAAGGTGTCTAACAAGCATAATTATTAATTATGGTAAGCAGCCTAAAGAATCTTCAAAAATACAAATGTGTCACTAGAAAATGCCCACTTGCAATTTCAAAATAAATAATTGGATTAATATATTTAAACAAAAATTTTACCAAACTTTATCAAATTTTACTAGTAACTCATTTGTGTTGTTAATTTTTTTCTTGTCAATGCTTCCATGTCTTCACATGTTACGGTTGAAATTGTATTGAAAAATACTAAATGATAAAATTTCACTATACTGTGGATAACATACACAGGTTACAGGAATTATAGCATTATCATAATTCAATCAGAATTATGATAATGCTATAATTACACTTTCATCTCTTCTAACATTGATAGATCAGATTTATGTGAGCAACTGTAATACACATTCCACAACAAGCTGTGAAAGTTGATTCATAAAGTGTGTAATATGGCATTCAGTGATTTTTATTATTTTCAACTAGCGGGTGCCAGCAACTTCTTTTGTATGGAATAATTGCTTTGAAGTACAAAATTTTATCCACCATGTTTTAGTTTTAAAAAGTAAAATGGGTATCTAATATGCATATATCTTTATTTTAAACCTTCATACTTAATACACAAAGTATAAAGTAGGTTTTTTATAAAATTTCTATAAAAAAGTAACAAAACTGATTTCTGTGAATAGATAATAACGAGCCCTTACCGCCAAATTATCGTAAGCGACACTCGCCAAATTATCGTAAGCGACACTTTTGTCGAAATGCGTTTTTTGTGGAAACTAATATTTTAAACCGTAACGGACCCATCTCTGTTGATATTTCCCTCCAAAAGAACACCGTTATAATATAATAGAGGGAAGAATAGAGGGAAATATCAACAGAGATGGGTCTGTTACGGTTTAAAATATTAGTTTCCACAAAAAACGCATTTCGACAAAAGTGTCGCTTACGATAATTTGGCGAGTGTCGCTTACGATAATTTGGCGGTAAGGGCTCTATAAGTTGATAGTCACTTTTGGAAGTTTTCTGTTATTTTTTAAATATTGCTCCTATGGATGTTTGATTCTTGTCAATGACTAATTTGATACAATTTTTGCCTACAATATGAAGAACTAGCACTGACTAGCTGCCTGGACCCAGATGTGTCATACGTCATGTAGTATACCGAATGTATGACAAATCTGACAAGGTCCAGGCAGTTGGTTATAATATCTATCCTCAATATAATATTATAAACGTGAAAGTGAGTTTGTTTGTTATGCTTTCATGCAAAAACTATTGAACAGATTTGGATGAAATTTGGTGCGCATATAGTTTATGACCTGGATTGAGACATAGGATACTTTTTATCTCGGAAAAAAATTAGTTTCCTGTGGGGATTCTCAAAAACCTAAAGTTAACGCAGACGAAGTCGCAGGCGGCCGCTAGTATTATATAAAAAACTCATGTCGCAGCTGATATTGAACTCCTATGAAACAGCTTCAAAAATTTTTATGAAGATTTGTGTATTTTAAGTAGGCCTGCGAATAGGTCCTAGTCTATTTTTTATATCCCTAGGTGATAAGGATGGCCCTCTCCAGTTCCAGTTTTTTTGGCTCATGTTTAAATGAGCACCAAAAAATACAACTGCCAACCTAATCTAACCATTAGGTTTGGAAATGTATTTTTTTGCTTTGATCACCAAAAAAAATAAGCAGTTGTTATTTATTTGGTGATCATTTAAATATACTTATAATTGCAACCCTAAATTTTCAACATTCTACCGTAAAACCGCATTTTTATGGCGGTATTAAGTACTCTGGATTGGTTGTATGAAATAAAATTCTATTAATGATATCTTAGGTGAAGAAGAAAGATGCATTTCTTTATGTTGGAGAACTTCGCGTGGCGCAATTCCTGGCCAAACCGCAAGTTGGCACCGACCTAGGGCTGCATATGGAATCTCTGTGCTTGAATTCCCACCTGGCCACACACATTGGAGGAATGGATGTCCCTTTACAAGAACCTTTGCGCCATTGCCAGTTGAAAGCCAAGATCTGGGAGCCCTTTATTACAGAAACTATTTCTACAACCAGCGTAAGTGTTTTAGTTATTTTAATAGAAACAGCATAACCATAACACTAATATACCTAAACCTCAGCTCTGTCAACAACCTCAAAGTAAGCCTATCAAGGCTAATCCTACTATTATTATAAATGTGAAAGTGTTGACTCAATCACGCAAAACTACTGAACCGATTTGGATGAAATTTGGCAAGCATATAGTTTATGACCTGGATTTAGACATAAGATACTTTTTATCCCGGAAAAATGATAGGTTCCTGGAGGATTTTTAAAAACTAAAGTTGTCGCGGACGAAGTCGCGGGCGGTCCGAAGTGATAAATAAAATTATTTATTAATCATTTACATCTATCATTACAGGTATAACCTAATAAATTAGAGCAGTTCTGTTATTACCAATTACAATACAATAAAATCTTTAAAAAAAGGTAAATTTAATAAATCAAAAACCCCGACTGCTTAATTATCCTTCAAATAAAAACTGAAAAGAAAAAAACAAGCCCAGTAGTCTATAATTCTGTTAATAAGGAACAAAGCTACTTTAACAGTCGGGACCCATTACATATTCAAGAATACATAATATTTTTCAACAGTGGGTCCTGACTGTTAAAGTAGCTTTGTTTCTTATCAACAGAATTATAGACTACTGACTAACTATTATAGTTTTTTTCTTTTCAGTTTCTATTTGAAGTATAATTAAGCAGTCGGATTTTTTGATTTTTTAAATTTACCTTTTTTACATCACACTTTTTAGTTACTTAGTATTTTAAGACGGTATATACCGTAGTCTTGTTACTTCAGTAAGGGAATTAATATCGCGGGAATTATTAAGTACCTTGCGTCGGTCTAAAAGATTGATTTATTAAGACATAATTATAAAGACTTTACCAGCAGGGTCAAGGCTACAGATGGGCCTCAATTTTCGCAAAAATGTGTGAAGTTAAATCAAGTTGTTACATAAATATCTCTAATGTATGTAAATTTTATAGTAAACTAGCACTTACTCAAAAAGTCATCTTTTGTTTATGTTTTTTTAATAGTTTAGCAGTAAACATAAAATTCATTTACTTTTATTCATCGACTATTTAAAAGCTGCAGTAGCTGCATTGTCAAGTCAATGCCGGACGTCTAAGATTGTGATATACACAAATTCAGTGTCAGTCCCTAGTCTCATAATTTGATATACCTACATAATTCACAGAAACCCAATATGTAGATGCCAGAAGTTAACTTCAAATGTTTTTAATCACCCTATATACAATACCAAACAATGACGTTTATGTCGCAGGTTGAAGTAAGCAGTAATTTCCGTCTGTTGTTATGGACAATGGTGGCAACTGCCTTAGATCACTAAATTAAATAATTATGCAATCACCAAAGCAAAGTTTATAAAATTTTATTAAACTAACGGCGCATAATAAAATTTTCATAACGTTAGGTAGAGCACCATAGCAATCTCATTTATTATCAATTTATAGTTCTCTTTTCTTTTAAAGCGTTCACATTTAACAGGCCAAAGACTTTGTGTTCGAACCTTTTTTATTGGTAGTGTAAAGCTCGAATGAAGAGTACTCCCAGTAGTGCAATCATGGCAATAATTTTCCAAATTTTTTTTTGTTTAAAAAATACCACCACTGTTTACTATATAGTATCACTGTTAAGCACAAATGCTAAGTAACTTTTACAAATATAATCATATAAACCTATTACTTACTTTATTTTTAAATATTTTTCATCAATTAAATACTTATCTTATCCTAACTATCTATACCAGTGGTTCTCAAACTTTTTAAATGACGGAACCCTTTTGGGAAGCAAAATACTTGATGGAACCCTACAATAAAACAATTATTTTTATAAGTGTATTCTATATTAATCAGCATAATAAAAGTACAATGTATCCGTTACTAATTATTATTTACTTCACCACTTGGTAAGGACAATAATAGAAAACATTAAAAAAGAAAAAATCTAACTAGTGGGAGGTATGAAACTGTTTTTTATTTTTCATCAATTGCTTGATATCAGGTTTGATGGAAGAAAGTTGGAGTCTCATATCAGCTTCGGCGTCCAGTCTATTGCGATATTTTGTTTTCGTGGCTGCGTAGGTAGAGAATCCTGTTTCGCACAAATATGTAGTTGGGAACGGGAGAAGAATATCCAGAGCCATTTGGCCAAGCATTGCATATTCATCTTGGATTCTGCACCAAAAATCATTAAGAGGCGTCGTTTTGAACAATGACTCCATACTTGTGTCTGATGACATTTCTAAAAGAGATTCATATATCTCATTTGACATGTTTTCAGGCTTTTCCAAGTTGGGTAAAAAAGGATTATGAATCCAGGAGTTCACTTTAATTTTTGTATTGTGTTCTTCGGGAAAATACTTTTCAAAAGATGCGCGCATCGAACTGAGATATTGGACCAATTCTTCAAACACATTATCTTCAAACATTTCTGAGTCGTTTTCGCTAACAAACTCAGTGAGTAACGTAAAACTTTCTATTTCTTTCTTACCAATGCAAATGATCCAAAAATCTAATTTTCTTTTAAAAGTAGTTATTTTATTATAGGCCTGAAACACTGTTGTCTGTTTACCTTGCAATGATAAATTTAATTCGTTAAGTTTTTGAAAGATATCCGCCATAAAAGACAATCGGAACAACCAAGTTTTATCATACAAACGGTCCTTCAAATTAAAAGAAGTATCTGCTGAAAGAAACATTTGTAACTCGGCTCTAAGTTCAAATAGCCTTGTTAAAGTTTTTCCCCGAGACAGCCATCGCACTTCTGTATGGAGCAGCAGTGTTTTATGTTTGCTGCCATAATCTTCACACAATAATGAGAACAATCGGGATTGTAGTGGTCGTGATTTGATAAAATTAATTATTTTTACCGCTTCATCCATAACTAATTTTAGATTAGACGGCATTTGCTTCATCGCAAGTGCTTGTCTATGCAGAATACAATGACTGGAACTACAATTAGGCGCTTTATTTTTCATTCGTGACACTGCTCCTGCTGTTTTACCTGTCATCGCCTTGGCCCCATCTGTACAAATGTCAATGCAATTGTTCCAACTGAGATTATGTTCTTCAAAAAATATATTTATTTTATTAAAAATTTCTTCCCCGGTAGTGTTTGTAAGCAGCGATGAACACATAAGCATGTCTTCTTCAAAAGAACTTTTATATGGATATCTCACAATAACCAGCAGGATAGCCAAACCAGCGACATCAGTCGACTCGTCCATTTGCAAAGCGAATCGTGTATTTTGTAGACGTGTAACTAGTTCTTGTTTGACGTAGCTTGCCAGATCATGGATTCGTCGTGAAACAGTATCGTTTGATAGCGGAACAGTAGAAAGATGCTTTGCAGATTTTTCATCAAGCATACATTTTGTTATGTCTAATACACATGGTTTTATTAATTTCTCAGCGATAGTGTGCGCTTCACCTGCTTGTGCAATGCGATAGCTAACTAAGTATGATGCCTCCGTGGCCTTTTCGTTGGTAGTTTGTGTTACATGCATCATATTTTTTTGACTTTCTAATAACTGATCTTTTTTGCGAACAAAAAATTCTTTATTCTTGTCTTTAGTCTCGGGGTGTACGGTTTCTAAATGTCGACGCAATTTGGCAGGTGCCATGGAACTATTAGGAAGCAGTTTACTACAGAGCATGCAGAGAGGTGAGCCGTTGGAATCAACAAATCCGAAACTGATATAAGATTCATCATACTTCCTTTTTTTCGTCTTTGAAACCGTCGAGCTTGACGTCGTGGCACTCGTGGCATCATCTTCTGGATCGGTGATTGCTAAATTCTCCGCGCGCATTGCTTTTGAACATTCAGCGTCATTAGAAGATGTTGTTGGAACACGTTTAACACCTTTAAGCCAACGTTCCATTCTTCTTTATTTATAATGTTACAAGTCAGGATAGTGGGGTTTAAATAATGCACAATCGTTACTGCGTATAAGAGACTAAATTTAGAACCTACAGGGAAGAAATGTATAAAACTGAGACAACAGAATACAGCAGGCAGTAAAACAATGAACACCAGTTTCTCGCTAGCGAGCTTGTAAGTAGGTAGTAACTTATCGCTCCGAACGCTAATCATCAACTGACGACGCCAACGCGCGATCGCCGCTTTTATACTTAGTCCTAGACTCGATCTCAAATATTCTCGAAAATACTCGAGTCGGCACCTTTGATAAACAAAAAGCAAAAATAAAAACAGAAATTTAAAAATAGCGTTGTAAACAATATCGACTTTATCCTTTGAAGTTAGAGACGAAAGTCGCTAGTTGACAACTATAGCGTCTAATTCAGAGGCGGCTTTTATCAAAGAGACTGAGCGCTTACAAGTATACCTACCCGCTCGTTTTAAGTTTGCCGCTGGCGATAGGTATGAGTGTATGACGTTCGAAATTTTTTATTTAATTGTAACAATAAAAATTGTGTACGTTAGATATTTGGGTAAAACTATGACACATTATAAGTTTTGTTGTCACGTGGGGGAGGGTACGCGCATTCCACAGACCGGCAAACTTAGAGCGAACGCGTTGTACAAGTATAAAATTGTTGAGACCAAACTTATGAGATATTGTACCAGCTAATGTAACACAAGCTTATACAAATACAAATAAATAAATAAATAACATTCATAGCGTTTTGTCTCCGCGCGGCCGCGGAGTCCGCACAGCCGCGGAGCGACCAGAGAGAGGTGTTTTGATTTTTTTATTTCTAAATTCTTGCGGAACCCCGACAGAGGTATCACGGAACCCTAGGGTTCCGCGGAACACACTTAGAGTATAGCTGATCTATACTAAAGAAAAGTTTACTAGAAACTAGATTTTCTAGTAAACTTTTCTTTAGATTTAAACATCTAGCAGTTAAATGCTTAAAAAATAAATAAAATCATAATTATAATTGCTATTTCTTCTTTCAAATGTTTAATACTTGAAAAAGTATTCATTTGACATTGTGGGTTACCTACAATGCGAAGAGATGGCG